AAATTAAATTTAAAATATTAATTTTATTGGTTTCCAAATTGTTACGAATGGGACAATAATGATTTATTAGTATAACAATACCTGTTTAAATTTCGTAATGTAACTTTTATTACTTCATATAAATATAACAATATTTGTATTATGTAATTTAGTATTGAACGAAATCTGAAAGTAATTTCATCCCAATCAAACGTTTAAACAAAAATCTTGTTCAGGAAAATAGTGAAGTAGAAATACAGACCATTGAAACGGTGTACAGTTAAACCAAGCACAGCACAGTCTAGACCAGCACAGTCTAAACCAAGTACAGTGTAAATCAGTACAGAAGAGGTTAGCAAAGCTGAGTCAAAGGAATTATTAAATCTGAATGTGATTTCGTTAAAATCAAACGCTTTGAATATTCAAATATTCTATATACTTCTGAACCAGATATAACCCGTGTATGTATCTAAAGGTGGCTCCACTGCATCTACTAACTTCGCATTATGTTGCTTTATAAACAAGCTCTAACCTTTTGATATAGATACACTTTATAGATCTTCTTGTCGGGTATACTACATAAAAATCTATAGTCTTGGTTTGTAATAATTGTTAGCTTATTGTTCAATTTATTACTTATTGTCATAGCAGCTTATAGTCCCTTTGGAATTTTCATAGAGTAAGTTATTTTCACCTCAAAGGATTACTAGCACTAGATGATCATAATATATTATAAGCAAAACTTATCTTGATAGAAAAAGTAAATTGCTATTGATTATTTAAAAATAATGACTAGAACTATACTCAAATACCGATTTCATTCATAACGAGATCATTCATGTATAATAATTCAAAGGTATTCTTAAATGTATAGTTATAATAAGCAGATATTATTTGCTTAAGATAACATTTATATAATACTAAAAAAATACACACTTTATACATAAAAAAAATAAACTATCTATCTTAAACCCAATGTTTATGTTTACTATTTTTTAATATTAAATATATACATTTTTTAAGACTTTGTACATTTTAATACAATACAGTTTGACAAATAAAACAATTTTCGTGATTTTCGTTTCAATACAGAATGAACCAACTTGAACAAACAAACTATACAAGTTTCCTGTCCTAAAATTGGAAGGGTTTTGAATATGTCAATTGCTTGCTTACATCTCACTGGCCATAGGTTAGAACTATTTCATTGCCGTCAGTTGTCTTATTAAATATGATTTATACTTCAAAGACAGATGAAATTTGAACCGAAAAATTATATTAGTATTTTTGATCATGGTTTACAGAATATTTTTTATATTAGTGTAGTTATACTAATTCTCGATAAACAATTAATCTATAATACAAAGCACAAAGAAGCCAGACGCAAACTTTACTCGGTTTTGAACTTAAACTTGAATAAAAATTGTTTGTATATAACTTTTAAACATTTATAAATAATAAAGCCAATTAATGAAATCGTGACGAGTATCAGAGATAGTATGTCTAGAAGGTAGTATTCGTACCACGTGAGATCAAACGCTTTAGTCTTTAGATGTTGTGCACCTTTATGTCGTACAATGTATTCCGTCCAGTAAGCGGCTGATTTAGCAGGTGACATTGGGCGGTCCTTGAAACGCTTGGAGGCTAGTTTGGCGTTAGACGAATACCTAATTGTAAATAACAAAAAACAAATAAATTTAAATCAAGTTTCTTAATGCTTAAACACATATTTTTTTATTCTTAAAAGATTTGAAGAATATGAAATAGTTTTATGTTTTGTAGAGGAGCCGGTTTTAAACTGATATTGACACCACCTAATCTAACTGACTTCTTATTTAACTCCCATTTCCATTGTGGACTAAATTCGATTGCAAACCACTCATCATAAGCCGTCGTGTATTGTTTAATTATAAAATAGTTTCAATTAAATTATGATAATTTAAATCTTTTTGATTAATATTTTAGTATAGTTTTAATAAAAAATATTGATGATTATTTTTTATTTATTCACAGATATGTAATTATATTATTAAGTTTTATTTTTGTATTAAAGAATTTTATAAAAAAAATTAGCCTGAACCGCAAAACCAATATCAACAATAATGAATCCCTGTTGCACCCATATTTTTACACAATTGTCGGGACATAGTGAGGACGGGAAGGTCACAGGTCTAAGGACATTTTTAGAACTGAAAATTATAATATCACTTATTTACAAACGCTTCGATACAAATCTGTGGACAGTAGGTTCAAACCAGTATAGTACAAATCAGCACAGAGAGAAACTAGAAGTAGTAATTGTGTAAGGGTGGTCCAGTGATCACAGATAAAAATACAGTTATTATACTTGGATATTTCGAGTTATTATTTTACACTTCATTCTCATTGTCAGTAAAAATTGACTTTTATTGTAAATTGTTCTGGTGCATCGTTCCACATTTCAATATTCTTACCTTATAACGTAATATTTTTTACCGCAGCCCTTACTTTTTATCGTTGATTAATTTATTAATCGATTCGAATATCTGAGATTCGGTGACGGTCATCACGTCGAGTGCAATGGCCATTCCGGCGTCGACCAGATTGGCAATGTTTCTCGGTTGATCGTAGACAAGTGGAAACCCTAACATCGGAACTCCGGCATCGACAGCTTCAAACACGCCAGATATTCCACCGTGACCGATAAACAGCTTGATATTCGGGTGTACTAGGAAAAAATATAGTTTATTCTTTTACAGGTTTGAAATAGATATAAATTATTACTTAACGTCTCCTCACTGATTCTTACAGAGAATATCGCGTTGAGGGAACCACTTTTTCGTCATCACGTTGTCCGGTTTGTCTTCCATTTCGCTCTCATATTTCCACAGTATTCTCTGAGGGAGGCGCGCAAGAGCTACTTTAAATGCGGTTTTAATGTGGTCTGGAAATGATGACATCTTTACTGTTGATCCAAACGTGAAGTAAATAACTCCACTGGGCGAATTTTCAATAAACTCTCGAATGTCCTGTAGCGATATAAATATTTTAATCGATTAATCATATGAATATAATAAAAAAATAATAGGGTTAGGTAACCTAACCTAACCTAACCGTGTATGGTACAGTGGTAAAGGCGTAAAATAGCGGAAGAGGCGTTACTATAACTTTCACCTCATATACCCGTGATTTATTTTCTGAGACGGGTTGTTTTACTTTTTTAAATATTTTTTATATATTTTTGGTTACCTTTTTTGTTTAAATTTAACATAGCCACAAGTATAATTTGCTGAAAATGTTAATTGGTCGACTACCAGTTTTTTACTTAGCTATTTAATAAATTTATAAAAATAACTTTAAAAAGTAAAAAATTTAAGATCAATAAAATTTGATGTGGTTTTTGTAGCGCAAATGAGTAATTTTAACTTATTTTAATTTCAAAATATTCACTTTAACAAAAGTTGAATAATTTGTCATATTTACTCGTATGTGTAACACCTGTACATATATTTTATAGATATGTATGTTTTTTTTTTTATTATCTACGCACATAAGTGGTTTAATAAAAATAATGGCGTTCTCAAACTGAAAATTATTGTCTTATATTTATAGTACTGATAACAGCAATTGCAGCCATAAAATTATAGGCACTGGGTATTAATGAATTATACAATTAAGATAAAACATATATATTACTGATAATGAAACAATATTAAATTTACAAGCTACTACAAAAAAAGTTTATTAATGTAATTGCAATGGGAATAGTAATAAAATGCAAATAATACGAGTACGCTTAAATAAGAATTTTAAATTATTAATAAATTGATATACTATTTCAAACGAAATTTACTTGAACTTTTTCTATCTATATCTTTATTATTTTATTAGAGCGATATCACACGTTATCTGGAATGCGCTTTTTAAATGATCCCTATGAAAAATGCATTTTAAAGGTTTATAATATGTCATATTATGTTTTTTATTGCATTTAAGCTTAAGAGCCTACCCAAAAATAACAAACACTTATAGACAAATTGTAACTTTTTGCACTTCACTTTAGGAAAGCAATACGCGTTTAAGTTCTATTATTATTTTATTATTATAATATTAACGAATACAAGTTTTATGACATGTGTAGGTACTTTCTTTCAAAAATCTTAACTTTTTCACGTGCTATAGGACACAAGGTTATACGCAAGAAATGTTTTAGACTAGTTAATTAAACCAAGACAAAGGTCACAAGTTTTTCAACATATCAATTTTAGTTTCTAATCTAATGAAATTTGGTGTACGTATGCTTGTGTATTTTGTACAAGAAACTTTTATTTAACTTGATATTTTTTTTTAAACCGTTATTACAATAACTCATAAAGCTAATGTATACGATACGACTTTTCAAATATATTGAAAAAAAACCCCTGCAGTTAAGTGTTGTAAATAATTATTTTTTTAATAACGGGTGTTGTGTCCAGAAAACTATATTTTTAATGATTATTTATGACTTACATTCGGTATTGCGTTTGGTTCGGGGAGGTGAATGCCGCCGATTTCTATGAAATTGGGTGGCATTGGTCTGGCCGGCTCGACAATGAAATGACTGTTTGCAAACACCAAGGACGGTACGACCGGTTCTATATAGTCGTACGGTTTGGGGTTGGACTTCATCGCTCTCGTTTCGGTATACCACAAGAGAAATTTACTGTATTTGTAGGTGAGAAAATTAAGCAATCGTTGTCGGAATGACTTTGGGTAGCCAACGGACGACATCATGTTCGACACGTACGCCGGGTTGGGCTCTTGGCCCAGAAACGACGACTCTAAGTAAGTCGGTATTGGCGACGGAAAGAGATAAATCAGAGGTACACGGAGACGGCGAACCAAGTGTGACATACAGGCCGAAGCTAACGACTCGGTGACGACGACATCGAATTCGTCGGTATTGCCCGCCGCCATTATCGTTTTGATTTTGGAATTTCCATAGATGATGTCACATTCTAATCTGTTGAGGCGTACCACGTGGTTGATCAGATTGTTCAGAGGTCTGAGCCGTTCTTTATTTTCGACCAAGTCCAGGTTCAAACGCATCGGTCCTTTCAAAACGATTTCCGTGTAGTTTCGCCGTTCGCCTTCTGGAAACCAAGTGAAAACCGTAACGTTATGACCGGCGTCGGTCAGCGATTGCAAAAATCTGTCCACGAAATACCAATGACTTTTTGCCGCTATCGTGTGCACGGCCAAAACCCGTAAGCCTGCCTCGGTCGGATGTAAAAATAGCGAAACTATCGCCACAAACACCGAGACAACCGACACTGTGAACATTATTGTTGCGTTTTAATTTTTAAACGGATCGAACTATCTTTACCGCGCGCGTTGGTTATGTTCCGTGGTCTGACGGCAGGTTGTTCTATAAAGCTTAACAGAAATAAATTGATCACATTGTCAATGACTGTTTCGTTGCATAACCAGAAAATTAATATATAATATTATAAAAAATAGGTACTCGCGATAAAACGTTTGGCATCGTAATACTCCTCTATTCCCGAAGGGAAAATGATAGGATAGGTAATCTTAAAACACCTCATAAAGATAAGGGAAACAAATTAACGAGCATTAATTTTTTGTTAAGTACATACATTTATATTTACACTTTTAAACCAGGTGGATATCGAACACGAAAATACATTTACACCGATGTGTATAGTGATTATTTAATTAAATTAAATTTAATCAGGTTTACATCCAATAGAACTAAAAATATATGTTAAAAAATCAGATCCATATTTGTTTTACGTGTAAGGGATGAAGATAAAAATGTACAACGTATTCAAAAATATAGTAAAATGTATAGCTAATTATAGGAAAAACGTTAATTTACAAAATATTCGTACTTCCTGAAAATGTTAGTGAATTACATCAAATAGATCACCCTGTATAAAATAATACTGTAACCATTAGCTCTAGAAAAGCTCATAAAACGGTTTTCCTTGTCGATAAGTATGTTAGGGCTATAATATTCTTCTTCCAAGGTGAGAAGTGTTGAACATGTTATCATAAGCAAATATCGCCGTACAAAAATATTTACAGTAAATATTATATATAATTTATTTTGTAATGAAATGAATTAATATTTGTACGTCTGGCGATGTAACATAACGTGTGAAACTTTTTCATTAGGTGGCTATTCGTCGTCGTTCGTTGGAGTTCATCAACAGTATCTCGTGATATTGATTAATTATAGTAATAATTTGCTCAGTATTTTTTTATTAATTGCATATTATCCACATAATATACAATGTAACATATCGTTTTCACTTGACTTAATAATTTAATCTAAACATTTATCTGTATTAAGTAACGTGTCAAGTGGTACATGGTTATGGTACCACTTGGTAGTAGGTGCATGTAGCTTCGATAAAACATTAAACGGTAGATACTTTTTCTTAAATCTAAATATAAAGATTAAAATGGAATACGAACTGTTTTAATTTTATTACTTTTAATGTTTAGTTGGAGCTTCGAAGCGGAGCTGAGAAGGTATTGTATATGTAGTAATGATGTGCTTTTGTATTTTTGTGTCTGTACCCACGATATCTCTTATACCGCTAAACCGATTTCTTCGTGTAGTAACTCTATAGATCACAAATCGTACCTGTAAGGTACTTTATATTGGACAAAATTAAAAAAAAAAAACAACAAAAAAAATGTACATATTATTCGACTTAATATCACGGCGCTCCATATTTTTTTTTTTTTTAAATAGTAGAATTAATTTGAAATTGTATGGAATTTTCTATAAACATTGACAAACCAAAAAAATATCATAAATTCTTAATCTTTTTCCCTAGGAGGGATAAACATTTTTCATATACAATTTTTCAAAAATCTGTCAAACTTTTTTTTTATCACAAAAAAGGGGAAAATTACATTTTGACTGTAGTCAATTTTTAGGTTGCTATGCGTGAGTGAATCAACATTTGAACCTTCTAACCACAAATTTGTATTGCAGCGTTTGTATAAAAGTGATTTTATAACTTTCAGTTCTAAAAATTTTTCAGACCTGCGACCTTCCCGTCTTCGCTATGCCTCGACTCCGCTGTACTGTCTTTTTCTAACATTAAACCATGTTGTTACTTATTACTATTATGTATAAATATTATTTGAAGTGTACTTATGGGGGCAAAAGTGATTCATTACTGTTGATATTGGTTTTGCGGCTCAGGCTAATTTTTTATAAAATTATTTATTAAAAAAATATTACTTAATAATATAATAACAGATTTGTTAATAAATAAAAAATAGTCATCAACATTTCTGATTAAAATATTAATCAAAAATATTTAAATTATAATAATTCAACTGGAACTATTTTATAAATAAACAATACACGATGGTTTATGATGAATGATTTGCAATCGAAGTTAGTCCACCGTAGAATTGGATGTTAAACAAGAAGTCATTTAGATTAGGTGGTCCAAATATCAGCTTAAAACGTGTTTTTTGGAGGTAAAAAAAAACTTACTGTTCAAAAAGTCTAAAAGGCTAGGCTGCTATGACCGATGACAATAAGTAATTGAACAATGAGCTAACAATTACAAGCCAAGACTATAATATGTATTTTCAAGATTATTTAAAAGAGTTTTTGTAAAAATAGAATAAAATATTTTTTTAGACAAATCATGTTTGATTAAAATCAAACGCTTCGATGTGAATCTGGCAAAAGTAGAAATCTAGCACAGTGTGGACCAAGTACAGTATACACCAGCACAGTTAGAAATTACCAAAGTGGTGGGGTCCAATATCCAAAGATTCGTATCAAATCGTTTTCTTGGATGTAATTTCGTTAATACCTTTAAATCACTGGTCTAGATGAAATTAATAGTATACCCTACAGAGAGTTCCATAAAGAGTATCTATCTCTAACCTTGGGGCTCGTTTATAAAGCAACATAATAAGAAGTTAGTAGATGTAGCGGAACCACCATTAGATACCTAAAGGCTATTCGAGTTATATCTGGTTCAGAAGTATAAAGAAAATTTGAATATTCAAAGTGTATGAATTAAATGAAATCACATTTAAATTTAATAATTCCTTTGGCTCAACTTTGCTAACTTCTTAAGTACTGATTTACACTTTACTTGGGTTAGACTGTGCTGGTCTAGACTGTACTGTGCTTGATAGGACTGTACACCGTTTCAATGGTCTATTGTTCTACTTCACTATTTTCTTGAACAAGATTTTTATTAAAAGGTTTGATTGGGATGAAATTACATTTAGATATGTTTTAATACTAAATTTCCAGTTTACTGTTATTAATATTGTTATTATCATATGAAATAATAAAAATAATACAAACGTGTAGATTGATAAATTTTATATTAATGACTTACACTTATCAGTTCGAAATTTGTGTTGAATATTCTTTAGGCATAGTACTACCGTTAAACGCGCTGACAAGCCAATCAAATATCATATAACCATTCCCCTTTTAAAGGGGTGGAATTTTTTTTTAGTTTTTTCAAGGTGATGTTTTAGAAATCATAGTCTGAAAATTAGTCTTAAGGTAGATCTAAAATAGGGTAGTAACTTGTAAAAAAATGTTTAAATATGTGTGTTAAATTTATTTTTTATTAAGATTACAAAAAAAAATAATGGGACAATCATATTTTTACAGTATCCAAATTTTAGGTGGCTATATGTGAAATTCTCAACCTGTATTGAAAATATTTTCACATACTGTGTTTTTTTTTTAATATCTAAACGAGCAATTAACAAGTCATAAAGTTAAGATACAATTTACCGTTTTTATTAGTTGAAAAAATGTAATCCTAGTTGTACAACTCGGTGCTTAAATTAAAATACGAATACTAAAATATTATAGATTAAAATATATATAAATAAATATTTAAGTAGTATTCATATAGCAGTTAATAACTGTATACTACTTGTATGTAATTGAAACGTCAAGTTAACACCAAAATTATGTATGATATTCTTTAGATAGTAAGTGGACAAATAAGTAGTATAACTTTTATTTTCCCTAGAAGAAGCTTGATCGTTGGGAGTAATTATTAATATTAATGTAGAATATACATTCTGGAAACACATAAAATCTTTTTTATAAGCCAAAAAAAAAAATGTATACAAATATTACTCAGTTTTGATCTTTAACTTGAATAAAAATTGTTTGCATATAACAGTTAAACATTTATAGAGAATAAAGCCAATGACCGAACACGTGACGATTATCAGAGATAGTATGTCTAGAAGGTAGTATTCGTACCACGTGAGATCAAATGCTTTTGTCTTTAGATGTGATGCACCATTATGTCGTACAATGTATTCCGTCCAGTAAGCGGCTGATTTAGCAGGTGTCATTGGGCGATCCTTGAAACGCTTGGAAGCTAGTTTGGCGTTAGACGAGTACCTAATTTTAAGTAACATAGAACAAGTTAAAAAAATAAATAATAATTTTTAATATGTCTAAAAACAAATTTCTCATTCGAAACACTTGAAGGTTATTTTTCACTTATTAATAAACCTATACTCATAATATTAAGAGTACAATGTTAATTATTAAAATATTTACAATTATTAAACTAGGATAGTTTAATCCATAGTTAATATTTTATTTGTGTTTAAATCTTGAAACATTTACTATGTTGATGTTACTTTTTTAAATTATTGTTTTTCATGCTTTCACAGCTATTAGTTAGCCCGAATATAATATATATTTTTCAACCATATAAGTCCATCTTTTAGGTGTTAAAACTTATAAACTTAAAATATTTAAATAGTCACGTATATATTTTATTAACTTGCTGAAAATGTTGACTGGATAAAATCAGATTTGCATAATTTACTTTTAATGGTTTTTAATTGAGCGAAAAATTACCTATAAAAATATAACAAAGAATAATAAAAGGAATAAAAGTATACTATTAAAAAAAATTACTAAGTTTAATAATATACTTAAATAAATAAAAAATCCAGGAATAAAAGTAATAAAATTACGAGATGTATTCATATTTCAGTTTAATCTTTATGTTTTATCAAAGAAAATTACCTAAATGTTCTTACTTTATTATGCCTACCTTATTATAAAATCCTATAAACTGTTTCGACTTATTTATTAGTTTCTGCCTGTATTCCCTTAACATGTGCTTTTTTAGGAATTTAAAACTATAACTATGTGTATCGTTTTATACTTCATTCTCATTGTCAGTAAAAATTGACTTGAACTGTACATTTTTATAGTGCATCATATTATGCGTCATGTGCATTTTATTTTTGACTGTAGGTCTTACTTTTTATCGTTGATTAATTTATTAATCGATTCGAATATCTGTGTTTCGGTGACGGTCATCACGTCGAGTAAAATGGCCATTCCGGCGTCGACCAGATTGGCAATGTTTCTCGGTTGATCGTAGACAAGTGGAAACCCTAACATCGGAACTCCGGCATCGACTGCTTCAAACACGCCAGATATTCCACCGTGACCGATAAACAGCTTGATATTCGGGTGCACTAGGAAAAAATCAGTTTATTCCTTTACAGGTTTGAAATAGATATAAATAATTACTTAACGTCTCCTCACTGATTCTTACAGAGAATATCGCGTTGAGGGAACCACTTTTTCGTCATCACGTTGTCCGGTTTGTCTTCCATTTCGCTCTCATATTTCCACAGTATCCTCTGGGGGAGGCGCGCAAGAGCTAGTTTAAATGCGGTTTTAATGTGGTCTGGAAATGATGACATTTTTATTGTCGATCCAAACGTGAAGTAAATAACTCCATTTGGTGAATTTTCAATGAACTCTCGTATGTCCTGAAGGAGATATTTTAATCGATCAATTTTGTGAGAGTATTAAAGCTATTACTACTATAGTAGTATCGACTTGTAAAGTATAACGCAAAAGTGAAGGCGTATAATTGTAAAACAGGCGTTGTCCACATGCTCGGCTCAAGGGGAAGAGGGAGGGTGACAGGTGTTAAGTCAAATGAATAAAATGTGTAACATTGTATATGTGGAAAAAACATTATAATAAAGGAATTTATATTTAAATTTGTATGGTTAAAGGTTTTATGTATGTGGCTGATATGTAGATACAAAATATATAATTAGGGTATTCAACCGAAACTGTCTTATTTTTAATATAGATTGACAGTAAAAATACACAAGTACTGTTCGTTTGGGAATCATAAAGTGAAATTTACAATTTTCGGTGATTAAATAAATGTAATTTAACTTATCGTTGTAGTGCTTGAATTGAATGAGAAATAGTAAGCATTTTTTACAAACAATTAAGGGTAAAAATAGTGATTTATAGTATTTATTTTTATTAGATTTCAAACTTTCTAATTTTAGATCAAAAGTAATTAAATAATTAGTGAAAAATGTTTATACAGATTTAGTAAAATGTAATTTTTTTTTTAACGGTTGTCGTGGCCTTAAAACTAGGGATTTTAGATTTGTGTCCTTTCTCACAACGTCCGATTTGTATATTTTTTTGTAGATAAATATAATTTATAAGTACCTTTATGTATTTTTAATGATTATTTATGACTTACATCCGGTATTGTATTTGGTTCGGGAAGGTGAATGCCGCCGATTTCTATGAAATTGGGTGGCATGGGTCTGGCCGGTTCGACGATGAAATGGCTGTTTGCAAACACCAAGGACGGCTTAACCGGTTCTATATAGTCGTACGGTCTAGGGTTGGACTTCATGGCTCTTGTTTCAAAATACCACAACATAATTCTGCTGTATTTGTAGGTGAGAAAGTTGAGCAACCGTTGATGGAATGTCTTTGGGTAGCCGAATGACAACATGAAATTTGACACACACGCAGGGTTTGGATCTTCACCCAGAAACGACGCCTCCAAGTAAGTCGGCATTGGTGATGGAAAGAGGTAAATTAAAGGTAGGCGGAGACGACGAACCAATTGTGACATGCAATCTGAAACTAATGTTTCGGCGACGATGACATCAAAGTGTTCAGTGTTGCCCGCAGTCATGATGGCTTCTATTTTAGAATTTGAAAACATAATATCACATGCTCTTCTGTTACTGTGTATAACGTGTCTGAGTAGGTTATTGGGAGGTTTTAGCTGCTCTTTAAATTCAACTAAATCCATGTCTAAACGCTTTGGTCCCTTAAAAACATGTTCTGTATAGTTTTCTCGTTGGCCTTCTGGAAACCAAGTGAAAACCGTAACGTTATGTCCGGCGTCGGTCAGCGAATGCAAAAATCCGTTCATGAAATTCCAATGACTTTTTGCCGCCATCGTGTGCACGGCTAAGACCCGTAAACCAGCCTGGGTCGGATTCAAATACAACAAAGCGAACTCCAAAAACACCGTGACAACCGAAAATAAAAACATGATTATAAGGCTAATTATTATTGTGTAGTCCTTTTATTAATGACGGATCGAAATTCATCAATATCACACGCGTCACTAGTATTTTGTAATGTGGAAGGCAGTCGGCACATTGTTTTAATCGACTGATTGTCTATTACTGATTACATTTTATAACAACAATACCTATATAGAAATTGTTTGACTAATTATTTACCTATTACTGCTTACGATAACATGTTCATTGTTTGAGGGGTACGGCGATATAATCCCAATAGACTTTATAGATAGTAAAAATAAAATCGACGAACTCTCTCTAAAAAATATATTTGAATATTATTTTGTTGTTTATACATGTATAGTTTTTTTTACAAACGTGTCGTTGTTTACGGTAAAACTTAACTATACAAACAATTAATGTGAAAAATGATTTATGATTCGGTGCGGAGCTGATAAAGTGATGTTTTTTCAATGATGTGTTTTTTTTTTTTTTTTGTGTCTGTACCTACGATATCTTCTAAGCCACTGAACCGATTTTTCGTGTCGCAACTCTATGTAGAGCAATCCATCTGATGTAAGACACTCATTTTCTCGGAAAATATAATTATTTTGAAAATTATTTGTTTCTTATACTTCTAGCAGGGGGAGCAGGCAGGTATTATGTATAGGGCGTCACGCATAAAAGGCACATACAAGTTAGAAAATCCAAATTGATAAAAAATAAATAAATATTTATATTTTCAGATATATAATCATATTTTATAGGGTCTAATGATGGATTATTCACCATGGTCTCAAAACTATTTGACTTTGACATAAGTCTGTTTATTAGTTTTCGTCGTACATTGTAGAGCAATACAAAATTTAGTCACAATTAGGTAATTTATTAACACAATATTGACAATACTTTAATGTATTAACAAAACGACACAGGTCGTTTCCGGTTTCTGAATATACAATGCAGGTCACGTTGCCGGTTGCAAGCACTTTTTTTGGGCACGATAATAAAATGAAATTTTTATTAGCTGGTCACACAAGGATAGAGTGTGATAGTGATCACGCTTTAATTGAAAAAATATAAAAAATGTCGAACATTTCGATTTATCATTCACATGATTGGCTACAGTTAGTTCGTCAGACAGGTAAAAAAAAAAAACCATTTAAAGTTATTCAAATGTGTCAACATGATTTCTTCGATTATTCTGCATTATTCAACACTACATTGAAGGTTGAAAATGTAAAAAAACAACTATGGGGAAACATTGAAATAGTAAAAGACAAAATGGCTTCAATACACAAAAACAGATCTTGGTCTTTTACAATACAAGGATACCCTAGATATTTTAAAACCATTTCAATCTATTCGACTATTAGGACGAGGACAAGCTCGTGCTTCATTTATTCCTCGTCAAATTTACATAAAATCACTACCAATAACTGAAGCAAAAAAAAGGACTTATTGCTATTACTTCAGTTTTTTCCTGTGATTTTTCATGATTATTATAACAACTTATCGACTGATAAAACCCAAAGAGATGAAATAGATTTCGCTAATGAAGAAATCGAAGAAGACTGAATGAAGCTATTATTTAATGTTTTTTTTATATTTTGTTATAGTAAAGGAACTATATTTTGAAAAAATTGTGTTATTTTAATGTAATATTTAATATTTAAGATTGAATATTTATTTTAATTTGTTTTTTTATTATTAAGAGTTAAGAAGAAAGTTTAATTTGTATTTAATGAATTTTTTGGTAATAGTAAAGAAACAGCTATATGTATTATGTTGTGTTATTGAATTTCGAAAAAAATTGTGTTATTTTAAAGTTATGTGATATGTGATATGTAATTTGGGATATTAGTTATGTCAATCAAATTTATGTGCAAAAAGGGATAACTCAGAAAACATTTTGTTTTTGTTGTTTATTATAATTTGTTAACAAAACTAATTTGAAAATTTTCTTCAAATACAGAAATATAGTATGAAAATAAGTTAAATAATAAGTATGTTTTTTTCCCATACCAAATAGACTAAAACATTTTTCTAAGTAAATTTTCAAAGTTTCAAATTTATTTTTCCAAAAGTTGCAATTTTACACTTATCCCCCTTTTGCCCGAACACCACAGATATGATATCATTATCATACCGTCAATGGGTAGGTAGGTTAGAAAAGAATTTCGTCGAAAATGTTTGCTACTGATAAGATATGTGAACAATTGGCGAGTATAAACTGTCACGGTTTCCGACCGTAGGTAAAAATCCGGTTTTTCAAATATTTAAATCCAATATGAATATGGACCAAAAGTTCAAATCTTTTCAACTTAATAAGCAAGGAACCGTTTGATGAAAATTTGGAAATTCAAACGCTAATATATTTTTTTTGAACTTTGTCTACAGATTTATGAAATTAAAAACATACTTTCCCATATCAAAAAAACCAAATGCGATACTTGTTTTACATATAAGGGTTGAAGATAAAATAATAATTATTATTATAATAATAATTTTAATATTAGGAAAAATAAATTCTCTAAATATTTATATTTTCCGAGAAAATGAGTGTCTTACGTCATAGTTTGATCGATTTTTAGCAAACAAATGTAGTATATTTGTTTAATATTTCACATTTTTTTTTCCTTCAGTTTTTTACATGAAACGACAAGTATACCTCACAATTATTCGTTTTGTCGCTCAGTTGAAGTTCAGTTCATAGTTGTTAGATACAATGGTCTTCAAATTCACTATTTTGATACTGTCTTGTGTCATGGTTGATAATTGTCTATCGGATCTATCCGATAAAGAAGTAATATTTTATATATTATATTTAGACTAATATTTTGCAACTAAAAGTATTTTATCAGTGTTTTGCTCGATTGTTTATTACAAACCGGTCAAAGTTCAGTGTATTACTTAACAGTAATTTGTTTCTATGAAGTTATAATTTTTTTAGCCCAAAAGTTTAAAAAAAAATATATATATTCATTTTATTTGTGTGTATTACACAAAACCGTCATAACATAATATTATTATTATCTGCTGTTACAGTTTGAACATTTTAAATAAGTTCGAAAACCATAACAATATTTTTTTAATTATGTTTTTTTTTCGTCATCAGGCAACTAAGACTTTGAAAAAAAGTTTGTCTTAAAGTTTATTTTTAATGTGTAAAATAACTGACCGGTTTTTTTTTAAGTAATTCTATATTGTACTCTAGTCCATGCAAAATTAAACTTTATAATTAGTTTTTATGGAATAAACTAGACAACTATGGTATTAGTTTTGAAATAAAATTTAATCAGTGTATTCAACTTTTCAGGTTATAGAAAACGCTTTTAATTTAGCTTATGACTATTTCGATTTGAAACAACTCGCTGGCGGTTTTGTAACACACAAAAAATATCTCAAACAGTTCGATTTTTTTATTTTTATGGGCAAACACGACGATTTGCAATGTATAAAAAATTATTGGGTAGCGAGACCGGATCTACCAAAAAGCAAAAGTAACCACAATATACTTGATGTATCATTAAACATTAGTTTTTAAATAAATATGTTAAGTAGACCGTCATGTATTATTATGTATCATCATTTGAATAGATTTCACTGCTGTTCATCCGCTTTCTATATCGACAAAACGGAAATACATGAATCATTTTTTATTTATAACGTTTTTATGAACTCACAATCTTGTTTGTCGTTCCGGGTAGAATCTTGGAACTCAAATTTCGAGCACTTCCCGATTAGCTATCCTGCTGAAACTTTCAGGGTAGCTCACAATTCGATGACAATGCATTATTAATCCACAAGAGGTTGAAAATTCCACCTCTAACTTTCTTCGCATTACTTTAAATGTCAAGCAAGTAGGTAGTTAACAAAAAAATTGAAGCAACCTACATAAAACAAACTTTGAAGAGAATAGCAATTAAGTCTTTTCAATTTGTAATGAAATTTAAGGCAAGTGGCTCGGAAATCCATTAAATTTCATTTCCGATAAAAATACATACTATCACTTTCTGATCCGTTCGGTTAGAGAGACTGCATTATGAGAGACAACTTAATGCATTAGCATGAAAGCTTAGGTTTTAATATCTAAGTAGAAAGATGCGCCCCACGTTTTTCTAGTTCACCTGTCCTATTTGGTTATCAAGACCCCCGGAAGGTTATTTTATACTTTTTAAGACGCATAAAAACGTTATTTTTAGATTAATCTTTTAATCTACTTTATTTATTTTGTTTTTTAGTTCAGATAGATTTGAAGGAGTTTACGGAAGTTGTGTATTGTATTTGCAAAGCACGACATTTTGTAGTAAAAAAGTTCGTTGATGAAATGGTAGCAGCAGCTGAGGTAATCTAGCTATATGTAGATCATATTTGTTTTTTTTTTTAATTAATATTGCAATATATTCTTGTATACTTGTGACATGTCCGTCCCCACTTTGCTGGCCTGATAAATTCAATTTCAATCTGTGACATCTTCATCTTCACTCTGCCACGACCCCACTGTTTTCCAACCCCACTATTCCCCGACCCCGCCATACTGGGTTTTTTTAAGATAATTTTAAATATCTTCACTTACACGCACAAGTATTACAATTATATAATATAATATACGTAGTATTATTTAGGGTTTAAAAACGTTACCGACCCAAAATTTACACTAATTTTTATAACTACCATAATGAGGATATGTTATTTAATGTGTACTCCATAATATTGTACTCTAGTGTATAAAGATTACAATTGTATAAATACATTTTTATGGAATACAATTTAATTGGTGAAATAAACTTTTCAGGTTGTAAAAGAGGCTTTTGTATTCGTTTATCAATACTACAACGTTGAAACAAGACATGCTACTCAGTCCGATATTTTAAATTTTTTGGGTAATGATGACAAAACTGTACATTGTGTAAATGAATATTGGACAGTGAATTTAGTTTCGCAAAAAAAACAAGGTAACTATTGGATATACTTAATGTATCGTTTAACATTTATTTATTTAAAAGCTAACGCCCCACAGAGGGCAGTGAGTACAGTGAAACTTAACTAAAATTAAATTAATACAATATAATACATAAGATAAGCTAAAATACAAAAATAATGTTTTTTTTTTTTTTTTAAAGATACATTTTGGATGGACAATTTTAATTTAAAACAATTATCATAGAAAAAATCAAAATTATTTAATTTATTATAAACATTTAACATTCTATTTAATGAACTATTAATAGCATAGCTTTTAGTTTGATTTTCAACATAAAAAATGTTATGGTGCCGTGTATTAACGTAAGGCACAACTAAATTAATTTTATTAAGTAATTCCGGGCTATCGACAAAACCATTTAAGATTTGAAAAATGTAATACGCATCATTATATAAACGTCTAGATTTCAAAGAATCTAAGTTACATTGGTGTTCAACATTAACTATAGGTTGACCTGACATGTTGATTTTAAAAGCAGCAAAACGAAGACATTTTCTTTGAATTTTTTCTATTTTTTCTATTAGGCCTACTTGGTTAGGGTTCCAAAGTATCGACGCAAATTCTAAACCAGAGCGAACAAGGGCAGAATAGAGTACTGTTAAACATTTCAGATCCTTAAACTCGCTACAATTACGCTGAATAAAACCTAAGTTTCTATAGGCTTTTGCACAAATTGTAGAAATGTGTGATTTAAAACTTAAATCAGATGACAATGATACACCCAGATCTTTTATGTTACTAGCTATCTCTAATTTACTATTATTTATTATATAATTATTTATTATTGGATAACGGCGACGATGAAACGATATCTGTTTGCACTTACTTGAATTGATTTCTAGACCGTTATTGTTACACCAATCAACAAACCTATTTAAATCTTGTTGCAATTTAATACAATCATTTTGGGATTTTATCACCATAAATAATTTTAGATCGTCAGCAAACATTAGAAACTTAATAATGTATTGGATACTTTGACTAACTGAGTTCTATTTGTTAGATAAGAAGTTACCCATTTTACTAGATTAGTACTTTAGGCTGAATTTTTAAGTTTATATATCAATACGCCATGGTCAACTGTGTCAAATGCTTTTTTGATGTCAGTATAAATAGTATCGATTTGTAAATTTGAGGCAACATTTTCTGTTAGATATTGATAAAATGAGACAAGGTTTGTTTCAATAGATCTTTTATTACGAAATCCATGTTGTTCGCTTACTAAGCTATGACCAACTAATTTTGAAATTTTGGGTTCTATTAGTTTTTCTAATAATTTTGGTAATGTACTCAGCTTAGAGATGGGTCTATAGTTAATAACTGAAGAACGATCTCCAGACTTCCAAATAGGAGAAATAATGCTAACTTTCCACATTTTAGGAAAAACGCCTGATCGTAAAGACCAATTAAATAGTTTGAAAATAGGGTACGTTAAAGCATAACGACAATTTTTGAAAAATACAGCTGGAATAGAGTCAGGACCTGGTAATGGATCATTACCTAGATTTTCTGGGTTACTAAAGATTTCAGCTATTGAAAATGTGCACTCGGATATATGATTGATTACAACTGCAGAATTGTCATTTTATTTGTGTACGCGGTAGGGCATAAACAGATGAAAAATAACTTTTAAATAACTCAGCAATTGATTCTGGATCTGCAGCCTGTTTATTATTTAAATTCATTATTGCGGGTATTTCAATTTTATTTTTCTTATTTTTAATGAACTTCCAAAAATAACGTGGATTGGTTTTAAGGTGATTTTGTGTATGGATTATGTAGTTATTGTCGCAGTTTTTAGTGATTTTTTTTACATTGAGCTCTTAATTTAGAAAAAGTTAAGTAATCAGTAGGGCATTTGGTTATTTTGAATTGACGATGGGCTTTGTTTTTTACAAATATTAATTTCCGCAATTCACTACTGAACCAATCGGGAAATTTATTAGTACTAATGTGATATTTTGGAACATATTTATGTATTATATTATTTAGGATTAAATAAAAATCATTTTTCGCAGTATCAATACATTTATCTAGAAATAAATTGTTCCAATCTATTAAGTTTAGAGCTTTCGTAATTTCATTATAATCAGCTTTCATGTAATTAAAGCGTTCGATTAGTAAAGATTTACTTACTATTCCATTTTTATTTACAAAACTACTTAAATATAAAATAGGATGATATTCGTCCATTGGTACTAGATGGATGTCACCTATTTCGACAATTAAAGTGTTATCATTCGTAAATATTAAATCTAGCTGAGAACCATATTTGTTACAAAAACTGTTTAGTTGATAAAATCCAAAGAAAGAAAATTGATTTACTATTAATTCCGATTGATCTGTATGATTCCCTACATAATTTAGTCCATTATTGTCACTGGCGATGCGTACATTTGGTAAGTTATAGTCACCTACTGAGATAAAACGAGTATTATCACTGACCTTAGATATGACGTATTCAATAGCGCGAATATTGTTTTCATAACAGCTGGTCGGGCTGGCCGGCGGAATACAGCAGTTACCAATAACAATTTGGTCATTATTAGGGAATTTTACTAGAACGAATAAATGTTCAACTGAGTTCATTGGAACCGGCATTAGTGAAGTATAATATTTGTTATGGACACAGATAGCAACCTCTCCACCTCTACTTAATGAGCTAGTATTACAGTTTCTATCAGCGCGATACACATTGTAGTTATGAAAACCCAGTTCATTGTCGTTAATATCACTATGTAACCAAGTTTCAACGAGTGCTAGATAATCAAAGTTAATTTCATGGAGATATTACACCGCAGTAAATTCAATTTAGTTCTTAAACCTCTTACATTTTGGAAATAACCCGTGAATTTATTCATCACACTAATGCTGCTAAAATTATAAGACTTATTACTTTCCAATATTGTTAAAACTATTATTATAATTAAGATTATTTACATTATTTATATTTCTGTGGGTCCAAGTTAGTTTTTTTGAAACAGTGATGGTTCTCCTTTGGTGTACTTGATTATCCATGAGTTATCTCCATTTGAACGCTTTATCCTCAGTTCCTCACGTATGTTTTTCATGACGCTTCTTTGAATACTGGTAGAATCCACATGAATAAATACATTTTTCCATTTTTCATTTAACCGAATATTTTTTTTCATTTTCAAGACTTCTATGACATTTTCTTTTCTATTTAATTCAACTAGTATAGGGCGTGGCTTATCAGTAAATTTACCCAATCTTCTATTTATTACTGAGTAATTATCTACCTTCATCGCATGGAATATTTCATTTATTATGCAGTTTGTTGTAGATTGATCTTCATTTGGATTCTCCGGAACATTAAAGAGAATGACATTTTTTTCTTTCGATAATCTTTCTTGAGCTTCGTGCATAACGTTTAAAACCATATCATGTGGTGCTATTTGTTTGCTTTCGAGAAGTATAACTTTATCATTAAGTACTTGTATATTAGACTCTAATTTTTTGTTAACCTCTTTAATTCTAGTAAGTTCAGAAGTAAGATTATTAATAGTAGATTTAAAGTTGGCTAAGCCAGTTTCTAAACTTACTAGTTTCCTGTTGAGGTCTTTAAATGCCGTATCATTTGATGACTTATTTGCATTAATTAAATCCCATAAGTCTTCCAAAGTAACTTCCTTATTTGATGTTGATTTTTTAATTGCTGTATCCAATTTGCTTTTTTGGCTTATTTTAAATGATTGAATAATTAAAAACTAACGTATTAATTGAATTACTTGATTAACATTAATTTGTAAATAAATATTTAAAATAAACCGTCATGTAAATTGAATGTTATAACTCAAAGAACCGGTAATATTTAAATTGTTTATCAAAGATCTACCCAATATCGAGGGAAAGCGCTATTTCGATTTTTGAACCAACTAAAAATATATTAACGGTGGTACAAAAACAAAACTTGTTAAAAAAAACACTTTGTTTCGTTTGAAATAAAGTGTTAGAGCATAAAGATCAACGTTGAAGTACTTGAAGAGTTGTTATTTTCAGTTAAAAACCATATATTCTTCTTCTTTACACACTTTCCTACACCTTCGTAGAGCTCGATTTTCTACATCTCGTTCAATTACCCACAGCCATCATCATCATATCATTTTCCATTCCGTTTATCCATATTTTCTTCGGTCTTCCTCTTTCTCTCCTTCCCTCTGCGTTAATTTTCATAACACCGCCTCTGTCGCATCTCTCCTCATAGCATGGCCGAACCATCTCAACTTATTCTCTCTCTCGTTTTTTCCACAATTTATGCAACTGTTAGACTGCCCCTCGTGTAGTAATTTCTTATTCTATCGTCCCTAGTCACTCCACTCATCCGTCTTAGCATTCTCAACTTCGCTACGCTCGTTCTCTGTTCAGTTTTCTTGTCTACTGTCCAACATTTCGTCCCACATAACATTGCTGGCCTCACTGACCCTGTCCTATGTTATTAAACATTCAATTTAATAGGCATCCTCCTGTCACACAAAACACCCGCAGCCCCCTCCACTTTACTCATCCACAATTTATCCTATTTTTCACGTCCTCCCCTCGTACCAACCGTTTTTTTTTTGGATCAAATTTAGTTTGGTTTAAACACGTGTTTTAGATTTTGTACATTGGGGGTTCCTAAAAAATAATTTTTGTTCCGTAGTTACCTATTTTAAAAGATTTCATTGCGGCTTTGTATATCCTGAAAAAAAAAAAAATACATGAATAATTTTTAAATAAAAAAATACATTTTTCCTTTTTTAGATATGATATATTTGGAGCAATTTGCGGGCATTGTGTATCGGATTTGCGCCGAACGACAACTAGCTGTAAACAAATTCCTTGAAGACAGGATAGCAGCAGCTAAGGTAATCTAGCTATAGATATAATATCGCATTAGTTTTGTTTTGTATAAATGGCATTATAAGTAGATAAGTGTTTTTTTTTTTTATGTAGATAAATCTTTATAAGACACTAGCTGAATTACCCGGCGTTGACCGGAATAATAATTGTGTTTATTCAACTCCGTTTGGGTGTAATTCACTGAGGAAGCAATGTCTTTTTTAATTGTAAATCACCCAAAATAACGTTTAAAATAAAGCGTTATCAATCATAAAAAAAACCCTTGAAAAAAAAAAATATGTATATTATCTACATTCAATTGTTTTCTTCGAGCTCTTGCAGGTCTGTTGTGTTTCTTAAAACATAACAACACTAAATCTATTTATATATATATAATAAGAAATCCTGACTGATTCATAATCAACGCACAGCCTAAACTATGATAGCTAACGACTTGAAATTTTCAGGGTATATTGTAAAGCCTCATCTCGGCTTTTTTTGGATATACATTACATTATATTGATATGTCCCCTCTTAATCAAGGGTCCCAATCCCAGTCCCAGATCAGGTTCTAATCGTGAAAATGAGTTTAATAGCGTCCCAAGAATCGTGATACATAGAGTCAGCATGTTCCTTTAATCATCGCCTACCATTCGCTCGAGTACCGCGGTTACCATGGTTACAAACCAAGTGTTTATAGTACAAAATTCGCGTTTGAGGCCACCCTTAGGGGTGGAACTTTCAAAAAGTACCATGCCAGAAGCATTCGCGGGAATGTACTCAACAATTTTCAAAAGTTTCATGGCGATCGGTTGAATGGTGTACTAATGCATAAGGGCAGACAAACAAACAGACATTCATTTTGTTTTTCGCCCTTTTCAACCCTTTAAAATAAAAATGATTCAAAATCCTTTCTCACTGCACGCCTAGACTATAATACAAACATACCCTGAAAATTTCAAGTCGCTAGCTATCATAGTTTAGGCTGTGCGGTGATTATGAATGAGTCAAGGGACTTCTTATATATACAGATTAATAATTTTGTTGAATACCTCCATTTACATGCACAAATATTACAATTACATACGTTGTATCATTTTGTGATTGAAAACGTTACCAAGCCAACATTTTACACTATCATGCTATAGCTCCCATGCCTAAAATTTGTTGTTATATATTGTACTCTAGTAGTGTATATAAAATTAAATTTTATAACTAGATTTTTATGGAATAAAATTGGTGATAAAACATTTCAGCTTATAAGAGACGCTTACCGTCTCGCTTATGCCCGTTATGACACTAGGGATGGTGATGATCGTCTTAGTCGGTCCGATCTTTTAGATTTTGTGGGTAAAGACGACGGTAATTCAACATGTGTAAATGACAATTGGCCAGCGGAATCAGCTCCACAAGAAACAGGTAACTGTTAAATATACTTTGTGTATCATTCAAAATAAATTTTTAAAATAAATATTTATTATAAGCTAAGCAGCTAAATTATTTGTATTATTCGAACAATAATTAATATGCAATTAAAACAATATTATGCATTTTTATACTAAACATTAAAAGACAACGTACGATTGGTTTGGCGTTGGTCAGTGTATTTTATTTAACCAGTTTTGTTGCTTATGACAAATCAATTTTTCACTTTGTTTTTTAGATTCGACAGAATTTAAGAAGTTCACGAACGTTGTGTATTGTGTTTGCTCAATACAAAAAGTTGATCTAGTGGACTTCCTTCGCGGCCGAATGGAAATATTAGATTAAAAAACCACTAAACAATCTGTGTAAGCAATATGATATCCGTTTTGTTTCATTTATTGTTATATCATTAAATAAGTATATATATTTTAAAGTATCTTCACTTACACGCACAAAAATTATATTTGCACATTTATATACATTATAATTATTATTATCATCACAATTATTGTATTATTATAATTATAATTATAATTATAAAATAAATAAATTTGGGTTGAATAAAAAAAACAACGTTTTTTTTAAATGGATTTGATTATGATAAATTGTAACAAGCGACTCCAAGTTCAATTTTTAAAATCGGAAATTTACAAGATGTTTGTACTTTTTGGTCAAGCTCTCTGTATCTTAGAGTTGTCGCATTTCTTAAGGTAGAGTTTTTTTTTATTGTGCTGCTTTGTAATTAACTCATTAATGGATTTTGTAGGCACCCAAATCCTTAAATGCAATAAGCGAAACAAATGTTAGCACTATTTAATACCTAACGGCGCCTAAGTTAGGCGGTTAGGTTAGGTAAGACCGGTCAAAATTTTTGCCTTCCCTTTCGAAAACTGAAATGACATCACTGGTCTGCCTACGCCTATACGGCAATGGTGACAAAAACACTGTACTGAAAGTCAAATGGAAGTTTATCCATGAACACTAGCTAAAAGACGACAGTAAGCGACATCAAACGACTAAGTACAGTGATTTCTTCGGTCGCGGTATGAGGAAGGTCGAGAAATTGGCAAAGAAATTTGTCAATTTCAATTGAATTCCTTTAAACACAAATGGTATTGGCGATGGCAGTACCCGACAGTAAATACCACATGTTAACGTTTCTGTAAAAAAATCTAGAACACAAGCATCGAAATCTAGGTCAGTATAATATTCCTTCATAAATCTAATCCATGTAGGCATGTAGCCTGTAGACAAAACTCGTACAGCAATGATATTTGGAAAAGTAGAAACAAATCGAACAGAATATAGTTCCCACGTTAAAACGACGTGTATTGGTATGGTACAAAAAAAACTAGGTCAAACAAATTTAAAACAAGTGTTAGGAAAAGGCCTCGAATAAGTATACAATGAAGAGTAAAAGTTCAAAGTAAATGGCAATGTAATTTGATCACAACATTTAGGGTATAGAGGCTCTGTGAGCTTTTGTTTTTTAATTTGATTAATTTAATGAAAGGGACGGAGTAAAAAAAAACTATGCGAAAACACATTGTATCGACTATTTGTACTATACTTCAAAGTGTACTTAAAATCACAGCGCTCAATAACTGTTTTTTAAATAGTAGAATTAGTTATGTAACTGTAACAATTTTCCACAGAAGGGTTAGATGTTTTTATTTTATAACACCCCAAAAATATTGAAATTTAGTCTTTGCCCGCTGTAAGCTTCTAGGTTGCAATTTGCGAGTGAATTGTTGATTGTTAACAGATACCTATCTGATATGTCAATAGTACTTCATCGGAAAAACATTCCATACAAATTTGGAAGTAATTCGACTATTTTTAAAAAAAAAATTAGCGTGCCATAATTTTAAGATGAAAAATATGTACACATTTTGCAGGTGTTTGCTCAAATTTGAATGGGAAGGGTTGAACTTTTTAAATGTTTTAGTCCATTAAAGTAATGAATTAAATATTTCAAATCACATTTGATATTTTCAATATTTTAGAGGAGTTATTTTGGTTTGGGGGGGGGGATAAGTCTGCTCAATCCCCCGTCCTTTGGATTACTTGTAACAAGGGAGGCCAATTTATAGGGACTACAGCCGTAAAAAATCCACCTCTGCATTTAGCTCTAAATTATTTTCCTAGATTATTACATCTCTCTTGTCCCGTATTTCCTTTTCTTTTAAAGTAGTGCAGTTTCTTTGGGTCTCAGGTAACTCTGGGATCACTAAAAAACAAGTTGATTCCATTGCTAGCTCAATTGTATCTTTCCCTGATCCGCGTGGATTTCTCATCCCCTGTTAGAACGTTCTTCAGCTATACCAAAAAAAAAAAAAAATTTTACAAGCGAAGCAAACGATCCTCCGAATTTAAATCAGGCAAATAATAGAACGTAGGCAAAACTATAAAATGTTGTTTTTGTAAAATCATAACCAACAGGTGTTTTTCATAATATTATTATGTTTGCGACGCGACATTCACTGTGAAAAATACTGTAAAAACTAATACAACGTGTAAAAAAGTAATACCTATATTATAATATCGTTGGCTTCTGTACAACAAACGGGGATTTTAGCTAAAACTAAAAACGCTAACTGCTATGTAGTTACACCGTGTGTCTTGGTTGGGGGTGGTGGGTGTATAATAACAGATGGAATCGTTCTAAATACTTCAACGGTGGTAAAAAACAAGAGTGCAAAATAGGTATTCGCTAAACACACAGTACTGCCGAGCAAGAAAATAGTTCAAACATATAAAAAACCCAAACAACCAAACGGAATACGTTTTAAAAGAAAACGGTTCTTCAGTACAAAAAAATATGCTTACACGTTTTTGGAGTGATATCGCGCCGAAAAACACAAAAAATAAAAAAACCAGTTGCCAAGTGCCAACTAAAACGAAATGTTTAATATATTTTGAACCCGAATAATATTATTATCAGCTATGAAAAATAAACCAAAACGTTTATAATTTATGTATTCAAATACTTTAGAAAAATACATAAAAAGACATAATATAATAACTTATTGTTGAATTAGATCAGGTTTCTTATGCAGGGTGATTATGTCAAGGATAAGACATTCGTTTTCTATTGAAATAATTTCAATTTTGTAATTTTGCTTTTTTCGTTGGATACATTTAAGTTTTATATTATTTCACAATATCAGACAATGCATTGACATTTTTATAATTATTTTTTTTTTTTTGTGTCCAAAGAACTATCAACTTTTGAAAATGAAGTGAGAACGTACATGTTTAGTATCTTTTTTTTCAACTAAGAATGATTGGCTAAACATTTTGACTGATGATTAGCCACTTTTGAATAATCAAAAGTTATTAAAATTACAATTTAGGACGGGGATGGTGTGCGGTTAAGTAATGCTCACAGATACAAAGAATACTGCACTCTTTGTGCAACTATTTTAAGAAAAACGAGCATTTTATCCTTAACGAACCACTCTGTATATGTTCACCGATGGCCCACAATAAGCCGTTTAAAGTAATCGTGTAAGTTTGCAAATTCTTACCAACTATAACTACAAATTTGACACAATTTAGGATCTCTAAAATAAAACGTATCATTCCCATTTATTATTAGCATCGATGCAAACCTCAAAGGTGTTGTTCTTATCATGATGTGTTTTTATTAGGGTCCACCACGATATCTTTTAAGCTGTACCGATATCTTCGTGTAAAAATTCTATAGATCAGAAATCGTATCTGAATAGTACTTTATTGAGCCGAAAATTCAAAAAGTCTTAAGGTTTAAGGTGCGAATATTAGGCCGAAAATAGATGAACTAGAATGGGACTACAAAATATAAATTTTTCTCAAAAATCTGTACTTAAACTTTTATTTTATTAAGGAAAAAAAAGGTGAAGTTACACTAACGAATGGGTTATAAAAATGATAGCTAAATAAAATCGCTCTGTTGAATTTAAAACTTATTCAATCAGACGTTTTTTAATTTAATCGTCTCGAACAATAAAACAGCGTAGACCATGCTTATTTTTCTGTTTAAAGCTACTGAATAATAAGACATATAAAATGTATTTTCTTAGTCAACAATAATATGTTGTTCTAAAATAATTTGTTGTTACCATTAACCCTTTGTTGACCAAGCATCAAAATAAAATAATTTTTTAACTTTTTTTTGCATAACTATGTTATATTTAACCCAAATAAAGATTTTAACTAATTTTTTTTTTCAGCACTCAATATTCAGTTATGTTCATGGTACATAGAAGTACCGTCGGTCAACTTAAAGTTTTTCTCCTGGTACTTAAAAGTACCCTTGGTCTTTATAAACGTCAGTTATTTTGAATTTCATTAAATAATTTAAAAGAGATGCAAGTAACTTGAAAATGCATTTATTATTTTTTCACAAAAAATAATACACATAATAATATTTATGGTAAATTATTTTAATACTTTTTATTAATCACATAACTTCCCTAGTTATAAATATGTCTCAAAAATAAGATTTATCTAAAATTTAATTGTCACTATCAGTTTGATGGTACTCTGCGAAACAATTTTTTTTATCATTACAACAAAGAAATACATTACAAGTAGTACACTTGGAAAAAGGTCTAGATTGTAATTGCTGTGTAATAGAACAAACTTCACACCGTCCACGATTTCCGACAATTTTTGGCCAATGTATTCCACGGTTGGTTAGTCTTTGGAAACAGAATAAATATGCATAACCCAATAATCTTATCGTTTTACATTTTGTTTAGAAAGCCTATAGCCGTAAATAAAAATAACAACACAATGCGCTTTAGACAATGTGGGTTACTCAAAGAATCCATCGAAAAATAGTTATTTAACAGTCAAACTACAATATTATTTTTTTTACACATAGTTATGGTGTTACTGGAAAGTACCGTCGGGCGAAAAACCAAAAATATATATTAACGAATTATTGATACACTTTCGAAGTGGTGGTTCTCCCTGGGTAACAGGCCTAACAGGTTCATTGCTCGCATTTCTAATAGATATAAATCCTAACTTATCTTAATAAGTATTATATTATAGAGATTTTCAAGCCAGTACAGTCCAACGGTATAAAACAGCAAAGTTAGAAAGTAATAAATTGAGGTGCTGTGTTTACAAATAAGCATCAAAGCGTTTATTTAAAAGTAATTTCATTCAATTTTATCACTTTTATTTATAATAATTTCTGTAGGCCTGTGAACTCTCCGTCCCCTCGTTGCTTGGATTCCGTTATGTCTATACTCTACTGTACTAGTCCTCTCGGATAAAATCACTTTTAAATTAACGCTTTGATGCTTATTTGTAAATACAGCACCTCAATTTAATACACTTGGTATTATAAAAATAAAAATAATTTTTTATAGCTAATCAATGTGAAAAAAAAAACAGTCTATTA